CACTTCTTGATTCCAGGCTTGCGCGACTTATATTGTGTGGTGGAGGTTGTCAGCATCAAGTGTTGTATTGGTTGTCCATGCACCGTCGGGCTTCTAGTGCGCTTGCGGTTCGTTTGGTGGTGACATGATGCTCCCCATCTCCATTGGATCGTTCCTATGCTTGTCCCCAAGCTCGACCGTCCCGGTATAACATTGGTGAGCTCCTCCATGAGGTCGTGGTTGATGGCTGCGGCCTTCGACCTGTCTATCACAGCTATTGCTTCTTGGATGCTTTGCGCTGGGGAGGGTTGTTCTGCTGAATCCTCCCGTCCTTGGATGCTCCCATTGGCCTCCCGGCAGGCGACTATTTCCTGGGTCTGCTAATTCATGTGGCGGATGAGTTCTAGATGAATGTCGGGAGTAGTTTTTAGGTTATCTTGTTGGAGCCGCATGTGTCGCTTCAACGTGCATATCCTTTCCTCTATCATCTTAATTATGCCGTACTTACCCTCATCCCGAAAATCGAAGGGCTAGACGACATCCAGAAATTCAGGCCTATTGCCCTTATAAATAATATTGCCAAACTTCCTTCCAAAGTCATCACCATTATGCATATGTGATCAGCCCCCCCCCCCCACCCCAAACGACATTTATTAAGGGTCTTTTTATTCATGATGTACGGTATCTAAACTTGGCACAAACTCCTCCATGACATCCATAGATCCAAATGAGAGGTGGTTGTCCTGAACCTAGACTTTGAAAAGGTTTATGATTGTGTTGTATGGTCATTTTTACATGACATTCTTCTGGCATGTGTCTTTCTGCCTCCGTATGTTCACCGAATTATGTATCTAGTTGGTGGTGGCCACACTTCCTTTTCAATTAATGGGATCGTTGGCATGGGGACCTCCTATTCCCTTTCCTCTTAAACTTTGTCTCTGATGCACTTGATAGGATGTTATCCTCGGCGGCAAGCTCTATCTATATCACCGTTGTTGCAACGCATCTTCTCCCTAACGGGGTTACCCACCTACAATACACTGACTACTCTATCATCCTCTTCCGGAAGAACGATCTTCAGTTCGATAACCTCAAATTTCTTTTGCTTTGTTTTGAAGCGATGTCGGGCATCTGAACTAACCTCATTAAAGGGAAGTGTTTGCCTTGGGTTACAATTCTGCTGAACATGCTCATGTCGCTAATCTCCTTAACTCCAAGCTGGGTGCTTTCCCTACCACGTATTTCAGGGTCCAGATATCTCCTCTTAAACCTCTTGTGTCCGATTTTAAACCTACTGAATCTAATATTGGAGTTTGAGTGGCTCCTGGCGTTGACGGTGGCGGTCCTCACCTGGCCAGGTCATCCTAATCATCTCTAGCTTTCTGGTATCCTTAAGTTTATTATGGGGTTTTGTCCCTTGTACGACATGCTAATTTTGATAAAGACCGTAGTGGCTTCTACCGGAATAGCATTGATAATAATAAGAAGTACCGGATGGTGAAGTGGAAAATCTTGTGCCGCCCAAAGACTCTTAGGGGTACTGGCCTTATTAACAGTGCTATCATGAGCAAATGCTTGATTATACAATGGTGGTGGCGCATCTATGATGATACTCCTTGTGTGTGGCACAAAGACCTTCAGAAAAAATTACTTCCCAACTTCTCGCGGTGGCTCCCAATTCTGGAGATCTGTAATATAAGTGCACAACATGTTTCGTGGTCTGGTTAACTTCTCGGTCGGCTCCAGCTCCTCGGTTAGATTTTGGATGTAATCAAATTCTTAAGCGCCATGGGCATTCTTCCGCATTTTGCTCTCTCGCCAGGTTGAGAACAGTGAACACATCCTCTTCAATTGTGTGCTAGCTAAACTTGGTTAAAGTTGGGTTCGATTCTGGTAGAACGTCTCCTGGAACCTGACTAATATGGATGAACTTCACTCGAACCTCAAAATCTCTCCCACCAGTTTATTAGGGTGTTTTGGATTGTGCGAAGTGCTCTTGGGTGGGCTTTATGGACTACCCGTAGCAAATTTATGATTGAGCATTTGTTTCCTAACCGTCCTACTGATTGTTTCTTCTAAATGACTGGCTTTATTCAGCAGTGGAGCCCTCTCACTAAAGTCGTCGATACTGATGTTTTTGCCAGGTTGGTGTCTCCTATTGCCCTTTCTCCACCAAGGCAACCCCGAGAGAATCGCCGTTAAATTTTCTGCTCTTTTGCCGGACCTGCACGTTCTTTGGCTATATCCTTTGAATGCCTGAACTTGTTATGTTTTCTTCTGAACCATGTCGTCATGGCTTTTTTTATAAAGGCGACGATCTACTGCCTCCGTTCTGATTTACTCGTCGTGGTTTTAGTTTAAATTTGAACTAAAACCACGACGAGTAAATCAGAACGGAGGGAGTACCTTCTATCTAAAACGTGGAGGACGAGATGGTGGCTGAACAGGAGGGGGCTGTGCACACCAACGAACATTGCCAAGGTCCTCTTCAAAGTATCATTTCGTTGGAATCGGGTTGGATGCTTAATGATGGATGGGTGGTCTTCAGATCTGGTTTCCGGGTGTAATCCCGTAGATCTCTATGGTGGTTGTGTGGACTTTTAAGTCTGTTTCCTTTCGCTGGTCATGTAGATCTCTATGATGGGTGGTTGTATGGACTTTCCGGGTGTAATCGGGTTGTATGGACTTTTGTAAAACTTGGTAACTTATTTCCTTAATGCGAGCTGGAATTTTTATAAAGCAAAAAAAAGGCAAGCTGGGCTGAAAAGCATATTATATCTAATATAAAAAAGCTCATTCCTTCCAAAAAAAAAAAGCATTTGGTGGTGCGGCCAAATCAGGTCCATGGAGGTCCGTATCCAATTTCATCCTAAAGCGCAGCATTCTCACTTTTGTAGTGGCTAATGACATATCTAATGGAACATTGAGGGAAGGATGAGAGCTAGGCCTAGCCTGAAAGTGGGTACCACAGCGTAACTATGTTGGTGATACTTTGTTTTTCTACTGGGTTAGGGATCTAAGCTCTACTTGCCGTACTATAATCTGAAAGTTTGTGGGTTCGCTTGCCCTTTTATTGAGAAAAAAAATGGTTTTCCAGTGGGTAGCAGGATCCAACTCTCAGTTCTAACGAATATAATTGCCGCAAAAATATAATTTCTATATAAAATACAGAATTAATTGTTCATACCTGAAATTCTTATTGGTGAGAGTATCCAAGCTCGGTATGTCAAGGGCTTCTTTGGTACTGGCCACAAGATCTTCCACCTTGGTTCTCATGTCGACCAGAGAGTCATCCTGGATCCCTTTGAGCACCTCGATGATGTTGGTGATGTCTTGAGACAAGGTATACCGGAGGGGGACCTCCGACAAGGGGAAACAGGGCATCACCGAGAAGGGGAAGCAGGGGACCTCCGGGAGGCAACGGATGTTGCATGGCCACCTTCTTCTTTCCCGTGTCTCGAACCCTGGGCGTGACTTGTAAACTGCTATGAAGTACTCGTCGACAATGTCTTCAGCGTCCAACATGGCGCGGCGGAGCTGGTTCATCCACACGCCGACCATTTTGCTGCGTCTTGTGTGGTTAGCCTGCTCCGCCATTTGCACCCAAGTCATCCAAACTTCAAGTTTTCGACCGAGATCCCTTACATCGCCGTCAACGGCGTGCAGGTGCTGGTACTCCCCCACCACGACCTCGCCGAACTTGTTCACCACTGTGAGAATGGTAGCCTCCATCCTACCCTGATCTCTCGGATGTGGCTGTGCTGGATGAGCTTAATTGGTGGCTTGTTTGCTATGAACTGGGAAAGTGGGGAGCTACTTAACCCAAACCTGATGTTCGTTGAAGCAATTAAGCTAATGATGGTGGTGGAGGTTCATATGTCTGTTGATATGAGCGGGCCGTACGCTAAAGGCATTGCCGTTCATGGTACAGGCGCTCTTGTTATCCCCGCATTTATAAAGTATCAGATCTCATCTCGTGAATAGTGAAGGACGGTGTAAAACTTGGTCCTTACAATTCGATCTACCCTATCTTTTATATCTGTCAATGTTTAAAAACGGACACACCAAATTTAAATTATAGAATGCAGGGACCAGTATTTTTCCTTTGGGTCTGCATGCAACTAGCATGGTCCTAGGTCGGGGTAAAACTCGATGCACTAAAGTTTGCAATGGTTGTCTAAAAACAACTAACAGCATCTCCAATACAAGATCCAAATTTTGGATGTAAACACGAGATGTAAAAATTTACATCTCTAAAAAGTGCTTTTTGCAAGTCCAAAAAAGTGCCAACTCGAACAGAAGATGTAAAACAGAGATGTAAAACAGCTACTCCAATAGAAGATGCAAATAAAAATGTAGAGCTATACTTCAACTACTGCTTCATTTGAAACCTATACTTCAACCATAGCAAATTCAACTACTACTTCATTTCAAACATAATTAAACATAGTTCAAATTAATAAGAACATTGCAAACTCAACTACTACTAGTTCGAGGTACTACATTCATCTACTATTACTACTAATTCGAACTTCTACTACTTGAACTACCGAAGATAAAACTACTCCTCGACATCAGAGCTCTTGAGCTGCTCCTAGAACGCACCCTTGCCCGGATCATCACAGTCCTCGTCCTTGTCCTCCAACTCGCTCCAGTCCTCCTCCGAGGACTCGACTGGAATCACGTCAAGGGGCAGGCACGGGCTTCCGGAAGAACTCCTGCTCGGCCTACACATACTCTGCATGCTCACGGGCGAACCTCGCTATTGCCGGGACTGACGACAATGCCGGGCTTCTTCTTCTTCTTTGTCTTATTCGTTGTCATCTCCTCCATGTGAATGCCCTCCGGCATGAGCAACTCCGCATCCGCCTGGGTCTCGATCTCCGGGAAGTTGAGGTCTGTCTTCGGACTCCCGGCATGCCACACCGCCACGTCGTAGGCCCGCGCAGCCTCGTGGGCGCTGGGGCATGTGCCTAGCCAAAAGCGGTGGCTGGTGTCACTAAACTCCACCCCAAAATTGTCGGAGGGCTTCACGGTGTCTTCCTCGGCGGCATAGCGACGGCAGGGCAGGGCGGTGCGTTGTGGTAGGGCGCGGTGCGACGGGGACTCGGTGCGGCGGCGGGGCGGGGCGGGCTGGCGCGGCGCGGTGTGGGGCGGGACGGGTCAGTGCGACGGCGGGACGGGCCAAATCGGGTGAAGAAGAGGCCGAATTGGTAGTGGGGAGAAGAGGGGGGAAATCCGCCGATTCACGGCATTGGGCGGCGGCCGATGACGGAGGAGGATCGGAACCGGCAGAGGGCGCGACGGCGGGGCCGGACCTGACATGGGGGCGGGCGGCGGCGCGGATGGGAGGTGGGAGGAAGAAGGGAAGGAAGCAAATGGAACGGCAATTGACGGTTGGCGTACGGCTGGCAAATATACATCTTCTGTAGGTGGACATGTATATTTGCACCGCGAAGTGTTCTAGTTTACATATTTGGGAGGCAGAGATGTAGATTTTTTTGCATCTGCATCATCTTTTGGAAAAGTACTTTTGGCCTCCGAAAATGCAAAAGTTAGGTATTTTTATATCTACATCTTTTATCGGAGACGCTCTAAAGTTTTCAACAATTGGAGGGCCACACTTACCAGAGAAAACGCACCCATGCTACTCATGCATGTGACCCGCATGGGCAGCACTCGGCGCCTGTTCGGAAACTACAATACACTCTTTACGGAAGTTTAAATACTCTGAAATTTTCTTTTGTGGAAAATATGTTGGGAAAAAGCAACACTTCTGCACACTACACACTGACACACGTCACATGGTTCACATATTCTATACCTATGCCTGTGACCCACCATTTTCCTTTTTGCTTTTTATTAATTATTATTATTGGAGGTACTAAATATTTGCACAGACAGGCTTTTAGGCATACAAACATGAGAAAATTCTTCTCCACCGAAGAGGCTTTTTTGCTTTTTGCCTAGGTTATGTCAAGATCTTTATACTTTTCTACGCTGCACAACAAATTCTACGTTGCCCGAGATTTCTTTACGCAAATGGTACAAAGAATCATCATGGAGCGACGTCTTTTTTCCCGGCGCTGGTTAAAAAGTGCTGACACAACCATACTAAACTAGTATAGCACTACACCAATCCGCGTGCATAATAATTCAAATTGTGTTTTTGCTCACCGTACCTCGACCCAACCGTATTCTTTGTGCTTTTTTCTTTTGCCTGGTGATCCGACTATATTCTTTAAAGGAAAGCAACATGGGTTCCTCCTTTACAGCTCCATGACCTCGATCCAACCATACTGAATTACAGGACGTTCAAAAAAGGTGGAGATGCAACTACAGTACACTCTTTACGGAAGTTTAAATACTCTGAAATTTTCTTTTGTGGAAAATATGTTGGGAAAAAGCAACACTTTTGCACACTACACACTGACACACGTCACATGGTTCACATATTCTCTACCTATGCATGTGACCCAGCATTTTCCTTTTTGCTTTTTATTAATTATTATTATTTGAGGTACTACATATTCGTACGGTCTGAATGCACCGACAGGCTTGTAGGCATACACACATGAGAAAATTGTTCTCCTACCCAAGAAGCTTTCTTGCTTTTTTGCCCAGGTTATGTCAAGATCTTCATGAATCCGAAATTTTCGTCCCATGCATGCAAGTTGCCCGAGATTTCTTTACACATATGCTACAGAGAATAATCATGGAGCGACGCCTTTTTTTCTGGGGGTGGTTGAAAAGTGCAGACAGAACCATACTAAACTAGTATAGGACTGTCCAGCTAGTATTTTTTTTTAGTCGGCATATAAGGTTTAGTCAAAATCAAGCTTTGTAGAGTTTGACCAACTTTATATTCAAAAATATGAACAATCACAATATGAGTTTAATATTATCAAATGCATCATGAAACGTATTTTCATACTATATAGTTTTTATTATTGTAGATGTTCATATTTTTTATATAAATTTGGTCAAACTATGTGTAGTTTGACTTTGACCAAATCTTATACGCGGAGTAAAAAAAAACGGAAGGAGTACTACACCTTAAGACAACCAACAACCAATTCGCGTGCAGAATAATTCAATCTGTCGTTTTGCTCTCCGTCCAGCTTTTCCTGCTTTCCACTTGTGACACTAGGCGCACAACTATTAATTATTTGCACAGTTTTCAACATTCGGATGTCTCAGTGTTGTTTCTTCATCAACATATTCGACATTTTCCATGTTACGGATGGCTATTTTCCTTTGAACTCCTCGACATTTTCCATGTTACTGTATTGCTTGTAGAATGTTGCTTTTGATTTCCATTTACAAAATTATATCTTAACATATTTTTTCCATTACAAGAACATAAAGTTTCTTGTTGCCAAACACATTTAGAGCAACTCTAGCAGATTCATACAGTGGCTGGATGTCTAACACAACTGCTTTTATAGAGAACCGACATCATCAATTTCACTTCAAAAAAATTCCTAAGTATACCTTCATCCCCACAATTTTTCGAGGGTACTCGAAATCTAGTGCTCAAAAAAGATTTAATGGTGGCATACGTACTAAAAAAAGGTTGAATAGCCAATAAGTACCGAAAAGTTCTTACTACCTACATGAACCTTCTGTAGGGTACTTGCCGGGCGTACGACCATCTATTGGGCTGGCCACCGTGAGGTGTAAAAGCCTACTTCTGCTTTGTGTATTGGGTGTGTTGTGCACAAGGTACAAGGAGCGCTTCCCCCGGCAAGGTGCTAAGGGTGCTGCTATGCATGCAAGTCATGCAAAGGGTTTGAATGGCCGATCCTTGTAAACGTTGCCCTGGCTCTCCTTTTATAGTTTAATGGGTCACCATAGTGGCAAAACAGTCATTTACATGCTGACTACACAGCAAACAATGCTATCATACCTAACTCGGCCAGACTAGGACAGAAGCATTTAATGCTCCGTTAGGTGTCATGTGGAGGACAAGCCCCGACAAGGTTGTTGCACCACTCGCCAAGCTACCTCCTATATTCTTGACACGCCTCACAGACGGCTATCATTAACGACAATTTTCCTCCCAGTAAGCTGACACGTGCCCGACAATTCTCACCAAACCGCCCGTGCGGTCGACACCTCATCGATTAGCGCCTGGCTGGTCGATGAGGTGGAGCGCGGATGAGCCAGTGAGGGCTTGTCGGCGCGGAGCTTGCTGGGCCTTTAACTTTCAGGCTCACGCCTTGCCGGCAAGCGATGCTCTCGTCTTTAGTATTGCTTGGTACTTCTTGATGCTTTGTCTTGATCTTTTCCCAGCATCTTGGGGCTTTGATTCTTGGTCTTGGCGAACCCCTGCAAGCCCCTTGGCCGGCAGGGAAGCTGACACCGTCTGTGCAAAAGTCAAGGTATAAAATACCCATGTTTTATACACTGATAGGAGCCCCAAGGCCTGGGCCATACACGCTTCCGAAGCGTCGTTGGACTAGGCCCAAACAATGCACAGACACGCGGCGGGAAACCGCGATTGCAATCTTCAGTCATGATGGTTTCACTAACGCACGCCTGGTCTGCTTATTAAATGCGGGTCATGGGGGCGTGGACTGTTGCGGTTATTCTGTGGTACTGCTCCTGTAAAACCGATGGGAAAAACAGTAAAGAGCCAGCCCCCTCGCGCCTTCCCCACATAAAGACAACGGCGAGGCGGCGCTGCTCATTCATCCCCTTTTCCCCTGCTGCATCTTCTTCACTTCGGC